GAGCCGAGGAGCAGGAACACCAGGTAGTGGGTGATGAGGAGCCTGGCCATGGCTGTGGACACAAGGACAGGCAGCATTACAGGCAGGAGACAGAGACCCTGCTGTGAGCATCACAGGCTTGAGGCTCCCTTACTTGTGCTTCATATAAAACGCATATTGTTCCCTTTAATCCAGTTGCAGGATAAAGAGCTTTGGACTTAAATGTGTATTTATCTTCCCCAACCACCTTTGGTTTTCTTTATATACATATATAGTAACATATTTTATATACGTATATATATGTGTATATATATATATAAAATCATAGAATGGTTTGGATTGGAAAGGACCTTAAAGCTCATCCAGTTCTAACTCCCTGCCATGGACAGGGACACCTTCCACTAGAGCAGGTTGCTCCAAGCCCCTGTGTCCAACCTGGCCTTGAACACTGCCAGGGATGGGGCATTCACATGGGGAGATATATATATATCTCCCCAACCTCCCAACACATCCTCTGCTAGTAATGACAGCTTTGAAATAGTGGAAGAAAAGCTTTTGGGATAAATGCTTCACTTGGTTGAGAGGCCAAAATCTACTTATCAAATCCTAAATTAACTATTAAATCCTAAACTTAAATCCTGTTCTATCCAATGGGACGATCTAACTGAGATTTCTGATGTCTGTGAATGGGCTCATCCCAGTCTCCAAGTGTTTGGGTACTGCAAGGAAGGCAGCACTCAACTTTGCCCTTGAGGGTTGGGGTTTTTTCCCGAACGAATGAAATTCAGCATGCTTTTCCCAAATCCCTGTTTATGTGTAACAGACCTTAACCAAAAAACAGCAGGTTTTGTGTTTTTATGTGTTTGCAAGAATCTGCTTACTCAGCATTTTGCTGCTGGCATCCCACGGGCATGCCAGGCATCTCCTACATTAGGTGGTGGGCTGACAAGGATGAAATCCAATTTCCAGGAGTCTTTTCTCTCCCTGTGTATAATCCAGCCTGTATAATACACACTAGATCTGCAAATCCTTCTGGAACACCTTTGGAAAATACCTCCCAAGCTGCAAATTCTCTTCGGATTCCTCCCCATGACACCAAGGAGCACTGAAATACTGTTACCCTCATGTTTAATGTGTTAGTCCAGCAATAGCAAAAGGGTTTTCTGTCCTGCCTGAGGCCGAGCAACCCCTCTGTGCACACCAGGGTGCTGGGTATGGAGAGCAAAGCATTCCCAGCAAAGTGTGGGTTGGCGTTTCGCAGCATCCTTGGATGCTTTGGATGCAGTTTCTGGCTCATATTACAGCACGAGACAATTAAGGGTTGGGTCCAGAGTGGGGCTTTTGCGCAGCAACTAATGGAAACTTCTTGAAGAGTCACCACTCAAGCCAGAGATGAGCTTAAAGCAGATAAGAGAGGATGGTCTCTTGTGAGATACTGCCCTTAACAGCGCAAACAGGCAGAACAAACCCCTGTTTAAGCCAGAAATCCTTCTGCTGCACCTTTGCTATGGTTTTAAGGTGCCTAAACAGCAAATTATTGGGTTCAGATAAAGATGCTTTTTCTCTTCTACCCCCCCCCCCCAAAAAAAAAATCTGGTCTCATGTCAGGAAATGTTTGAATGAAGGGCCTTTAATGTCAGTGTTTTGATTGGGTTCATTAGCTTAATTAAAAGAGCAGGGAAGATGCACAAGCCTGTCCCTTGTGATGGGAAGGAAAGCCAGGCTTGGGCTTCCTGCTCATAGGAATACTGGGTGCAAAACCCACCCACTTTCAAGCAGGTTAGCTGCTCCTGTCACCCTACAGCACCCACCCCTTGGGAGCAAGGATGCCAAACGACATGGCAAAACCTGGGATGGGCAAAGGCTCCTTGGGCACTCACAAAAAATTAGGGACTGGGGGGGAAAAGCAGCAAATTGGCAATTATTGTTGTTTGTTTGAGTCCCTGCAGTGATTTGGAAGGGGGAAAAATCAACCCCTGGATAAAAACAGGTTACAGCAAAGCCCTGGAGGATATTCCAGCCTGGCAGCACCGACCTGTTCCTCTAATTGTCTTTGCAGAGATGAGCCATGATGAACAGGGCAAAGACTCGTTTGGGTTTGCGCTGCTAATTACTGAGCTGAGCTTTGCCCTGGCTAAAGACGGGCACTTATACAAACCCCCTGCCCATGATGGGGACCAGGGAGCTGCTTCTTCAGGCTCAGAGCTGGGGTTTACAGGGTGACCATAATATGATCATTGAATTACATTATCAAATGGCTTCGCAGGGTGGTTTTTCCTATCTCTTTTTAGCTTTCCTTCTCAATTTTCCCTCTCTGCGGGTGAACGCAGCAATGAGAAATTGATTCAGGTGATTTATATCAGAGGGATTTACATGTTGGAGAACCAGAGCTCCTTCAGGGCAGAAAGGAAAGCGGAAAATGGAGGATGTGAGGCGCGATCGCAAGCAGCAATTACGTGCACAGGGCTGGCAAGGAGGAGGCTTGGGGTTTGGAGAGGAAAACCAACACCCTGGTGCCAAAATAACAGCGGAAATAACCTCGTTAAGGTGCCCGAGGGGGGAGAAGAAATGAAGGGAAGGTGGGAAGATGCTTGGGAATGGGGGCATCCAGACCCTCCTGGTGATGCTGAGAAGCTCTGGGCTCATAGGGGGTGAAAAATCAGGGCTGGGGCTATGGGGAAGGGGGATGCAGGCTGGCACTTTGCTTCCTGAACAGTCTGCCCCTAGGTTTGAGAACCCCCCCTCCCCTTTTGTTGTTTAACCCCCTCAATAATGGGGGGAATAGTCGTGCGCAAGTGGGAGCCACGGGAAAGAACAAACCTTTCCAAGTAGCTCTGGAAAAGGGAGAAAGAAGCAACGTCCCCCCAGCGCCAGCTTTGAATCAGCCCTGAGTAAACAAGCCCCAGAAGAGCAGCATCGCCCCATCTGTTAAGGAGGACGCTGCCTTCAGGGCTGGCAATGTCTATTTTTAGGCAGCACTGGCGGGGGGGGGGGGGAGCCCCCGTTCCCTTTGGTGCTGCTCGGGGTTAAGAGCCCCCTCACTCCTGGGTTTATCCCACCCAAAGCCCCCTTTTCCCCGGCACTCACCGCCTGGGAGCCCGTTGCTTGCTCGGTTCCGGGTGATTCAGCCTCGGCCACAGCGCTACGGGGAGGAATAAATAGCGAGAGGGAGGAGCCGGCCCGGCTTCTGCGCAGCCGAGCCCTGCACAGCCTGGGCAGCATCCATCTGCCTTCCCTAGGGAATACCGCAGCTGGCACCCCACAGCATCTGGGTTCAGCCCACATCATCCCTCCCGGCAGATATGGGCATGGGAGGCAATGCCAGCGGCCAAAGGGGTGGCTGGAAAATGGCAGCACTTGGATGGTTTATCCAAGAAATACCGATGGGATCAGGAAGGTTTGGGGGTGGTTTGGGAATCTCAGGGTTGAGGCTCTGGGAGAGGAGGGGATGCTTTTAGTAGGTGCCAGCTGCAGCTCCATATCTGTTATGCTGTGGAATAGATGCTCTGTGTGTTGATGGGTAGAAAATTAAACCAGGTTCAGACATACAGGGGAAAGGATGAATCTGTCTTCCAAGTTCGTGTCGCTCCAGAGGAGTGAATCTTCCTCCTGTACAAACTGGTTGTCCTTTATGTCGAGGTGCCCCAATATTAAATGGTGGGAAACACCACAGAAGGCAATTAAAAATGATTTGAGATGCTCATGGCAAGCTGGGGCTTTTTAGCACCCAGTTTTGGAGGGTAAGGGTGTGTGTGGCTGCAGAGACCTGAAGAGGATGGGGAGTTTTCTCATCCTTTAGGGTTAGGATGCGATATAGGAAACAGGTCCATGGCGGTTGGGAGATGCAAATAAAGCTTGAAACTAATTGCACTGGGACTCATTTTGGCCTGGCCATGCAATAGAACCAAACAATTCCTCCTGGAATAGCCACGCCAGGTACCACTGTCCTGGTGATGCTCCCACTCCCGGACCACAGAGCACATCTGGCCATAAAGGGGATTTCCACCCTGCTGCTCCATGTGCTTGTTTATCCATCTGGCTGGATTATGTTAAAAAGGACATAATAATAATAATAATAATACTCTCTGTCTGGCAGGAAAGGAAGAGACATGAATATTCATTTCTGGAGGAGAAAATGAACTAAGAGGAGCAGGATTAAGGTCAAGCAGGCCTGGAGAAGCTCTTCCCTACAGCACAGGCATGTTTATTCCCTGGGTGAATGGGCAGATGGCTCCTGATTCCCTGGCTTTGATTTAGATACTCTTCAGTGGGTTATTTAAAATCCAAAGCAAAAGGAAAGAAAGGAATACAGCACCAGGAATGGGTGAATTCATCCATGGCTTCTAAAAATCAGGATTTTCCCATAATAATATGTTTCAGAGGAAGTTTTGGTCTAGTTTGGGGGAATACTGAAGCTCTGCTGGATCCCGGCTGCAAATGGAGCAGGAGCAGCCTATTGACTATCAATTCTTAACTCCCTGTGGAAGTTAGCAGTGCTAAACCCACCCAAACCAGTATATCCACAGCATGGATTTAACATATCCACGTGCCATATGGTTTCTTTAGCATCTCAGAGTGTAACTTCTCCCAGCAGCAAGACAAAGAGCTGCATTGATCTCTGCTGGAGGTTTGGCCTTTCTCCATCTTCAGCTCAAGCAGTGGCAGGGGACAGAGGAAATAATGCAACGTTAAGTGCAACGGAGGTTCATGCCAGGTTAGAAA